GGGGGGGGGGGTGATAAATGAAGGTGAGTCCGCAGGTGTCAAACCATCAAACCATGAGTATGCAGGATTCTACAGTAGTTGAATCACCCCCAAAAAAGATTAATTTTTGATGCATTTTTTTTTAATCAAGGGCCCACCCAGAGTGTGGGCGGGCCAGCAGTTGCCCATCCCTGCACTTGCTAGCCTATGACCTGTAATCACACAGTAGCATAAACTGACATTACATCACTGTACACACTAGCACTTGGTATCGTAAAATAAACTTAATTTCTGGCATTTACACACAACAAATGACTGAGAAGGCAAACTGCATCTGCTACTGACATCTTTAACTCAAATGAAAAAACATCAATAAATTAAACATGACTACGAACGTGTAAAAATGTCAGCTTTCTAACATTGAAAGATCCCCTTTTCACAATTTGAAGCCAACCTCAGTTGTCAGTGAATCACGCCACAGGGCTGAGAATTGTCTAGCTCAGAACAATTTGCCATCAGTTATACCAGTGCTTCTCATTTACTTTTTCTTACACCTACCTCCCCAACAAAGAAGAAAATATTTTACACGCCTCCAACTCTCCTCCATACTGTAACTCTAAATATTATCATGTCTAAAAAGATTTTATCAGCGCACCACCTCAGTATCATTGTATCCTTAACATTAAAGACAACAACAAAAGAAATAAGATCCAACTCACAACTTAAGAATAACTTTATTAACATTGTTTTTGGTCTTGCTTCTCACCTTTGTTTATTTTTCCATGATGTCTCTTAAGGGTATTTTACACTGCTCTTCATATCGCCTGCTCTGTGCTATGTGCAACAAAAACCCTACACCTGAGTCAATACATGATACGCACACTCTGACAATAAAAGTCACTGCCTCCTACTGTAGTGGAAGTCCAATTACACTTTATTCAAGAATGGCAAAAAAAGAAAAAAAAAAACAATTCCCTATGGTCACACACTACCGACTCCCCTCTCAAGGGGGCCCACCCCAGACAGTTTGTGTTTCTCTCAGTCTTCGTAAAGCAGTAGACCCAAAATTTAACAATTAGACAGGTCTAGATTTTGGACGAGGAGGCAGGCCATGGTCCTTTGCTCTTTGATGTGCCTGATAAACTCTCTTGGTCAATGGTCCAGGACAATCAGTAGGATGTGGTTCTTTGCCCAGAAGGAAGCGCTCCCAAATTGGAATGGACCTTTCCACAAATGCCCAATAGCGTGCCTGGAAGACAAATCCAATTCAATTACAGCGGCAGCCTATCGTTATCTCAAATGATTCAGGGTCAAAATGCCAATGTCAGAGCTCAAATTTGTGACTGCCTCATGCCCAAGCAAGTGAAGTTGTCAATTTGCTGATCAGTTGGATCTTTTAATGTGATGTTAAATGTTAATATTGTTCTTCCCCAATTAGAGTTTGGACTCCATGTCGTTCTCTAATGTAGCATGAAAATCACCTAAAGAAAATCCCCATTCACGAATAGTTGTTGCTGTTGAAGGCAGTAAATTACTTCCAAATGAGTTGGAATCTTACTCAATGCACTTTTTTTGAAAGAAACATCATAATCTAACAAATGAAAAAATAAATTTGATAAAAATGGTAAAAGGAAGGGCGGCCCGGTGGTCCAGTGGTTAGTGCGTCAACCTCACAGTGGGTTCAATCCCCGCTCCGGCCTTCCTGTGTAGAGTTTGCATGTTATCCCTGCGTGGGTTTTTTCCGGGTACTACAGTTTCCTCCCACATTCTAAAAACATGCATGGCAGGCTGATTGAACACACAAAATTGTCCCTCGGTGTGAGTGTTCGCGCAGATGGTTGTTCGTCTCTGTGTGCCCTGCGATTGGCTGGCAACAGGTTCAGGGTGTCCCCCGCTTACTGCCCGACGACGGCTGGGAGAGGCTCCAACACCCCCCGCGATCCTTGTGAGTATAAAGCGGATCGGAAAATGAATGAATGAATGGTTAATAGAGTGCATTTGCATCGTGCTTTATCTACATCATCGCATGTCCAAAACATTTTATAAGGCTTCACATTCACTCATTTTGGATGCCACTTCGAAGTTCCTACTCCCAAAAAGTTTTTGTTTTTAGTTTAGTTAGTTGTGCTTTGTCTTATTTTGGCCAGGATCCTTTGCAGTGCCATGACCAAAAGGTGCAACCCAGGTCGGTTTTTGTGCTTGTTGGCGCTGTGTTTAGATCCTCGTTTCGGGGACCAGCTGTGTGGTTACAAGCTCGCTCTTCGGAGCCAACTTCGTTAATTTGTTGTCGTGTGGACTTGAGAGAGAGAGGTGTTGATGCACTGCCATGATGGGTTTTCATTGACTGTACTTGGCTTTTTATTTAGTGCTCACTAACTGGCCAACTATTCCCAGGAACCTTCTAGCTCGGGGGCCGGCAACCTGCGACTCTGAAGCCGCATGCGGCTCTTTAGTGCCGCTCTAGTGGCTCCCTGAGCTTTTTCAAAAATGTTTGAAAATGGAAAAAGATGGGGGAGAGAAAAATATATTTTTTGTTTCAATATGGTTCCTGTAAGACGACAAACATGGCGCTGAATTGAATATGAGCATGCTTGTTTCAACTGGTTATATATGGAAACGCTTTGCTCTTCCTGTACAGTAGGTAGCGATATGCACTGAACTGTAACCCACCAATGAACCAAGAAGAAGCAGAAGGAGAAAAAGACGACGATGAGTGCGCTACATGGATTGAATTCTACACTTGGCCACGATGTGGAGCGGGATTCTGGTTCAGGTCAGCCATTTTAAACTTAATTTTTAATTAAAACAGCTCCAAGCAGCCACCACCATGCTCCCGCTGACTGTACTTTTAGAGTTCAAAAGATTGGCAAGTTAAGTGGATGTGAAATGTACATGAGTGTATGCGTTTATAAAGCTCTTTGGTGACTTACTGTATGATGTAGAATAGTAGTTAATCAAATTGGATTTTTCATCTGTTGGCCTATGATGTGTTAATTATTGTTATTTTGGGGGGGATTGACTGACTGATGATAGACGGACTGGCGGACCGGTGAAATGTGCTGACGGAAGTGATGATGAAAGCCCAGTTAAAATACCATGACGGACTGGCCAACTGATGATTACAGTTTGGTTCGGCTTAAAAAAACATACGGTCTGACGATTACTGATGTGTGCCCAGGCCGCTGGGCACAAGGTGTATTTAATCAATTAATAATCAATCACTAAAAGCTTCAAACTAATGCGACATACATTCGAATGATGAGTTCATGCAAACGTCTCATCACAACTACGTTTGAGACAGTGAAAACGCTTTAAAAAAAAGCCAAGTTGACAATTAGGAGCTGATTGTGTCAAATATTTGTATTGAATGAAAATATTAATTTAGATGAATCAGGGGCCGCCTGATGGTCCAGTGGTTCGTGCGTTGACCTCACAGTGTGGAGGTGCAGCGTTCGATTCTGGCTCCGGCCTCCTTGTGCGAAGTTTGCATGTTCTACCCGGGCCTGTGTGGGTTTTCTCCGGGTACTCCCGTTTCCTCCCACATTCCAAAAACATGCATGGCAGGCTGATTGAACACTCTAAATTGTCCCTAGCTGTGAGTGTGAGCACGGATGGTTGTTCGTCTCTGTGTGCCCTGCGATTGACTGGCAACCGGTTCAGGGTGTACCCGGCCTACTGCCCGAAGATGGCTGGGATAGGCTCTGGCACCCCCCGCAACCTTTGTGAGAATAAAGCGGATCGGAAAATGGATGGATGGATGGATAGATGAATCAATTCCAGAAACTAAATAAATAGATTTGTTTTATTCTAGACCCATCAGTTTGATTCTATGATACAAAGTGGTAGTTATCATTAATAACTGGAGGAAGAACCCATGCACGCATGCATGAGCAAGCATACAGTAGTTTAGGCTTTGACTCATTTCATTATGAGTTTTTCTGGTCATTTCTATTACACAGTGCGGCGGTTATCATTAATAACACTGGCCAACAACTATTGACAATTTTTTTTAATCAGTGATGCAAGTAAATTTGTAGATTATTTTTTTTGGTGCTGATTCCGAATCTGCCATCATTTTTTTACGAGCACATCAGGTTTTCATAATAATAATAGTCCTGTCAAGAGATTTAAAAAATTGTGAAATTAATTATGATCTGTAATTGATCGAATGAATCTATATTTTAATCTCATCTAAAAATTGCTGATAAAACTCCTATTTTCGTTTTAAATTCATTACATTATTGAGCATTAAGGCAGATCAAAAGATTCACATCACAAAAAAGTGGTATGATAAAGTATTTTTATAATTTTAGTTTTTAAACAGACTTGAACAGATGCAGTCCAAGCCATTTACTTTCTGATGTATTTGAGACTAATCCCAAATTCTACCTGCAACCTTTAGTTTCGACCACCAGGGGAAATACCACTGTTTTGTTTTTGTAGATTTCCAAATAATTACAAAATAAAAATAAAAGAGAACACCAGATCCATAAAAAGCACTTAGGTTAACATATCAAAAACAGTAAGAACACATTTCTGACCAATACAAGTACTGAACGCGGAACTTGCTTCAGACAATAAATAAAACAGACCCTTAAAGCACAGTGCTGTAAGTTAGCACTTCAGAAATAACACTGTTCATCATGACAAAATAAAGCGCTGAAATAAACATCAACCACTTCTAATAGGCTACAGAGGAAACAGCAGCGATGCTGACTTCATGCCTCGTACGCGGAGTGTTCTCCTTGAGTTTAGTTTGGCGAAGAGCTTTGCTATGGCTCCCTCTATTGCTAACGCTTTTTCGGTGCTAACGTTAGCCGTGGCTGCACTCGCGACTGGGTGCTTTGCATTGATGTAGGAGACTAAATTTGAGCTGCTTCGGTGGTAAGAAAACTCCTTACAAATTAGGCACAACACTATACCTTTATCAACTGTGCCGTCAGGGCATTTTTGGAATGTAAATTGTCCATTCATTGTGCCGAGAATGGTTACATGCTCCTCCATTTTCACCTCTCCTCTCCTCACCGCTGCTTACTTAGCCCGCCCAACTCTGATGGAGCCAATCAGCTTATGCTAAACAAGCCCAAACATAATGACAGCCAATCAATGTCCGCTTCAGGCCGTGACTGACAGTTGCTCCCCCACCCTCAACAACTCGAACACAGGAAGCCAACACATAAAAAGGATGTTCGAAAAAGGCAACCCACCTACAGAAACAATAAAGTTAGAGATTAAAATTTTGATTAACATGATTAAAAACATAACGCGCTAAATATGACTGTAATTAATTATTTGCAATTAACGTGATCATTTGACACCTCTAACTAATAATAATATGAATAATAATGAATAATAGCTGAAATATAGTAATATTTATGCTTTTTTTTCCTGAAACATTAATGCTATAAATTACAACGCATGGTAAAATACGTATCAGGCTAGCTTTTATACAGTAGGTCAAACTTAAAAACAAAAAATGAAAATATCTTAAAAACCTAATGTGCCAGAAACAAGTAAAAAACTAAATAAAATCAGCATTAAAACTATGTTTAGAGACACAAAATCATCAGTGATTAGTGGGAGGAATGATCACAGTGGTGATACAACGTGTCCGGATTGGAAGTGCGTCTGTGTGCCAAGTAACAAAAATGATCTGAAATTTGTATTTGTTATTCAAATAAAACATTTGTTACCTCAAGGGCAAGGACTTTCGGGTGGTGTAGCGGTCTTCCACAGAGGTGATTCTCTAACTTCTGTACATCCTATAGTAACAGAAAGCCAGCACAATTAAAAATGTGCCCTTTAAAGGTAACTGACGAAATGGCACTGAAAATTGATCTCGAAAGATATAATAACCCAATTCCTGGGTACTTCGCATTTTAGTTTGGGGTAGCTAATCGCCATTCACAATAGTAGAAACTGACAACTACACTACAATAAACAGACTGTTCAGAACAATGGCATTAACATTTGTACTTGACAAAAGATCAATGATGATAGTCTCAACAAATCACGTGCATCTTTAAAACCCATATGCTGCAGTCGATGTAAATAAGTTTATATAACGCAACATACAATTTTACAAAAATTGTAAAAGTATTATTCCTGAATATTTATTTTACTTTCAACCACTCGACATGTTCAGTGGCATCAGTGCTATACATACACATATAGTTCTTATTTTTTTCTTTGTATTTTTGCCCTCTATGGACAATAAAAGCGGTATTGTGCCATGACCAAAACATAAATATAAATCTATATAAATAAAACATGAATTGGAATATTTCATATCACACAATTTTTATGCTTTGTCTTTGATTTAAAGATGACAATACGCAAAAATCTCCAAAAATTGTAGAAATTGTAACACATGGGTTACATGAACACAAACATGAAAGCATTTTTGTCTTTGCCTTGTGCTTGTAAATTTTCATTTTAAATTCTCTTTTTGTCTGTCCGGATTAAACAGTTGAGGTACAAAAAAACATTATGATTCTGTCAGAGCAGGATATTTGGCAGCAGCAGCCTCCGTTCATCCTCAGTGCAATAACAAGCTATGATAGCACTTTAGACTGTCGAGGACAGAGGCTACTGAAATTGCTTAATGTACTGGTCTAGATTTCAGTCGACACTTCGCAATCTTCTCCGTAGTATCCTCCATCCACTTCATCTTCTGTCTTGCTGTTTCTATATATGATGAAATTTAGATGTTAAATGCTTTCCACGTTTGCCTCCACTAATAGGTGGTTAAGATGCATAAATAGGAAATTATATGCTCACAATACTACAAAACGACTCCAATCATCAGTTTGAACATTAAATATCTTTGTTGTGTATTCAACTGACTACAGGTCAAAAAGATTTGCAAATAATTGTATTGTTTATACTTACATTAAATTACATTTTACACAATGTCCTAACTTCACTGGAATCGGGTTTTGCTGCTGTAGTTACTTCTGCTGTGGCATCAGCTTGATTCATACTTTAAGTGTTCCAGGGACCTCCGCTCCCATGTAAACACACAAACTGTGCTCAGTAACTTTTATCTCTCCTACAAAACTCCCTTTACTGCACAGTAGTTGACCTGATACTTGAGCAGCAGGAAAGTCTGGTTCATGTTTGAGTTTTCTTCTGTTCAAAATAGCAAGTAGTAGTTTATCATGCTGAGTAAACAAGTCTCCAGACAAGAAAAAAAGTATTCATGTTAAAAACTTCCTCTATTGTTGCACGTGTGTGCCACAAAGGGGCCATTGAATTACGAAGATTGAGGGTGCAGTTGGCCATAAAACATTGCAGGTCTTGACGGGATGCTATACCTGTAGGAGGCTGCTGTTCCTTTGACGAGCGACTTCAGACTTGCTGAACTGCTGCTTACTTTGCATCTTCAACGTCTCTCTGCGGCTCTCCATCTGCTCGAGCAGCTGTGCCCTATTTGCTAAACTGGTGGGCCAATAAAAAGTAAACAACAGAAAAGAGAACTCAATCTTACTTTATTCATCAAAGTATAGTAATTGAAAAAGCTTCCATTATATGCAAGACCGTTCCGGGTAAAGCAATACAAGTTGATCAGGAGTAATAAATGAATGAAAACAGTCCAACTTGTTGATCATTTAATGTTTGATTCATTCGTTGCGGCGTAAATCTCTGCAAAATCACGGATGAAAACGACACAATTAAACCAGTCATACGAAAACACGACTCAGTCAAACCTTTTATACACTTACATTTCTTCGTATCGCTCAAACGCCTCCATTTATTTTTGGAGAAAGTGCTCAAATTCATTTAAATTGGTGACATCAACATACGCTTCTTCTCTTGCAGCATATTTGTTGGTAAACCTGTTCAGAGTCGCAATACTGCCACCGACTGACAAAATAAGACGCTGCAACGCTAGTCGGAAGGACAGCTTTTTAAAATTGTGCTTCTCAAAGCCTCGGTTGTTGTGCTCACCTCCTTTTCACAATACAGAGCTCAAATGAAGGACAAAATAGAATGGCACATGAATAATCAGTAGAACTAAATAATTCAATTCCAGCAGCATTTAATATTCTCAAGTAATATCTGCTTCTCACTTTCAGAAAATAAAATGAACTACTGCGCTTCAAATGCAAATTCAAAAATTTCTAGCATGAACTGTAATAGCATCAATATACAGGTAATAAAAATCACAAAGACTTGTCGACAGCTGTCACCATCTTTAAAGCTGTTTTTGTCCACACTAAACATTTTGCTTACTGTTACTCTTGCACCATGAATAAAACATTTCCAAGAATGCACTTCAATAACTTACTGTTGCCGTGGTGAGTGGGTGTGAGGTACAATGCTGCAAAGCTAACGTATATGCTACACATGTGAAATGTGTTTGTACTGAACATATGCAAAAGTTTATTGGAGGATCATATTGATCTTCTTGGTGAAAAAAGTCTGTATTATAATCGCATTTTAGATCGAAGAACAGGGTGGAAACGGCAGTGCAGAGCGAACATTGTGAATAGGATGTAATATTTTGTGTGTTCCAGAAACCCACAATAAATTCCAAACAAAATTAAATGTGTAGCGACAGATTGATCAAGATTAGTCTTTCTGCGCCACTCTTCAGGAACACATTTTTCTATGTCTGTGACAAGATCTCCAGCAGTCACAGCGACATGCGCTGCTTCAATGGATGCCAGAGGGATGCTACAGAGTCTGATCCGGACAATCTTTACAAGGGCGAATCCAACAGCACTGACATGACTGCGGACCTCTCACACCCACTCGTGGTCGGTTCCAGCCCCAGCGCTCTGTTTTGGAGTGGACCGTCAGACAGGATGTCTGAACCCTCCGCTTGCCACCAGCGCCTGAACTGGCTCTCCGCCGGGCCTCAGCGCAAAGGCTGGGAGTTTTGTGCTTCCTTTCATTTATTTCATTCATTTACAAAAGAAGAAATGGCAATATAATATAAATACAGATGTTCTCCAATCTAGAATGAAATGGAGCAGAAAGAAGACAGGTTAAGACACACCCGACTCAACATGTCAATTACTGAGGTTATAACACGCCCGCTTGGCCATCACTGGCTGCAGATGATCACATTACAATCAGTGCTGCAAGAAATTTAGTTCACTCAGTAGTCAACGTGTGACTGTCATGATTTTTTTTTTAGAATGTTTTAATACACGCTAACAATGTCGAGCAAAAAAAACAAAACAAAAAAAACCCCAAAGTGGTCTGACGAATATGTACCACATGGATTCACATGCATCACGGAACGTGATGGAACTCAGCATCCTATCTGCATGATTTGTCATGCCAAGTTGAGCAACTCTGGCCTCGCACCGGCAAAACTGAAAGAACACTTCTTGAATTGTTATTTTTCAGTAATGAAGGGTTCGATAAATGTGCTTATAAATTGGTTGGGTTCGGTGCCTCTAATAAGGTAAAGAGACACTTTGTCTCGAAGGAACGAGGCAGTGCATTGGAATACTAATTTTTAGTTTAGCCACTAGGGGGGAATAGAGAGAAGCACAGTCGACATTCAGAATAGAATGAAAATGTCGGAATTAGACACTACAGTGTGCCATACTGTATTTAAGCATCTAAATGAAATACACAAAGGTTACATACGAACTTAATCAAATTAAAATATAGTTTCACTCAAACTAAATATTCAAATACGAGATTGCTTGCTGACAACGACTTTTTTTATGGTGAAATGATGATCATATTTGCTAATACACTGTACATGTATCCAGAAACAGCTCTTCTTGTAATACCTGTTTCATATGTTTAAATATTACAAAGGGATGAGTTTATCATTACAAGTGTGAGAAATGTGATGGTATACTTGGTGATGGTAACAATTATATATATAT